ATATATATATATATATATATATATATATATATATATATATATATATATATATATATACATATACATATATATATATACATATATATATATATATATATATATATATATATATATATATATATATATATATATATATATATATATATATATATATATATATATATATATACATATATATATATATATAAATATATATATATATACCCTGACTCTAACCCGGTCATTTAACACAAAGAAAACTGTATGTATGGTGTTTAATCCCACTCAAAAATCAAAAATTATATCAACCTCTCTGAGAAACTGTGGAGTTGGAGTTGCGACATTGTTAGTGAAGTTGGAGTCGCTAAACAAAATCGCTACTCCGGTTCCAATAGTAAAACTTCTTGGTATTGCACGAACTTGTACAAAATATTTAACCTTTAAAGAACTTGTCATATATTTGACAAAAAAAAATTTTAATTATCGCGTAATATTTTTTTAAAGAATTCAAAGAAATATTTATTCAAAAATTTTGCTTTGGAGTCGGAGTCGTTCTCTGAAAAATTCAGCGAATAAAAGATGGTACTTTTTTTTTCTAACTCCACACGCCTGAGAGCAATAGTAAATTTGTAATCACAATTATCTAATTCTCTTCGTTTGTTTGATTCTCCAACTGTAGGTTCGTCAGAAAGCTTCCTGATGAACTTACTGATGGAGAAACAAGGTAATGAAGAGAATTAGATAAATGTTTTTACTAATTTATATATATATATATATATATATATATATATATATATATATATATATATATATATATATATATATATATATATATATATATATATACACTTACATTTATAGTTTATATGTTAATATAATATAATAATATAATATATATTTCGCCATAAAAAAAATATTTACAAAATTAGATTTTAAAAACTGTATATACACGGCTGGGGCTAGAAGAAGACAAATTCAGTCTTATCGCCAAGCCCCTTCAATCAAGAATATAAGTAACAAACAAAACAAAAAACCAAAAAACAAAAAAAATCCGTTATCAAATATATGCGTAAGGTATATATAAATATATAAATACAAATATCTAAATATTTTTCATTAAAATTTAATATTTTTTTTTAGTTTTTTTTTTTATTAGGATTTCAAATTTTAATAGTAAATAAAAATGAGATAAAACATGATAATTTAAGAAGGTAAAGATTCAAATTAAAATCAAAAATTAATATGTTAAAAATAAATTAAACATCAAGTAAAAAACAAGTGATTACTCCTATTTAAAAGTTTCAGAAGAAGTCAAGTTCATTGTCAATTATCAAAAGTTTATTTTTAATTTTTTTTTTAAATTGATCAAGGCAAGAAATATTTTTAAACTCATTATCCAATAGGGTGTTCCATAATTTAGGTCCTCTGATTGCTATCGAGAACCTAGTCGCAGAATAATATTTTTTTGATGAATATAATTGTTGTTTGAAAATCTTGTTGGGTATAAATGATTTATTTTTTCGAAAAATGAATATTTATTAAAAAAAAATGAATTATATTATTACAATATTTCTTTTGAATTGTCATGAACATTTTTAATGTTTCCTTTGCATTATCTTTTTAGGTAAATCAGTTATCATTAATTAGCGGTAAAAATTCAGCTGATACAATTAAAAATATCTTGCATTGTAAGTAATTAGCATATGTTTGAATTTTAACATTTATGTATGACAGCATGATATTTATCATCTTTTTCATATGTAGACTGACAACAGACACTATTTTGTCAGAATGCAGAATGAATGGTTTTAAAAAAAAAAAAGTTGAAAGAGTTGACAAGTCTATGTATCGCTATCACTGGTATTCTCATTTGATTTTTATTGTGTTGAATTTAATTTTAAAATTAAAAACAATCTTTTAATAAAAATAAAAAAATTTTCTCAATTTCTTTGGCTATGGAGAATGACATGTATTTTATTTTATGATCTTAATGAACTATGTTTTGTTGTTTTTGTTAGATGTTGCTTTAAATTCAAATAAAAGCTTAACCAAAATGGATCTCATGCAACTTATGGGAGATTAATTAGGACCGATTCAAGAGAAAATCCACCAGTATCAATATCGATCAATAATGGCTTAACAAACTTCAATCAGCTGTTGTGTTTTTTATTTATTTTGAATTTTTCAGTAATTTTCTTTTACTTGTAATATACTATCGATTATACTCTATAAAATATATTAGTTTTTAATTTGGAAAGTATAACTTTGTTTGAATAATTTTTCTAAGTTTTTAAAAATTAATAATTTATTTTAAATATATGAAATTACACTTTATGAACTTTGATTTCTTTTTATACCTTCACTTGCCATCTAAGGTGTGTATTGCATATCATTGCATTTTTATATAACTTTTAAAAGAATGTCTAGGTAAAATTACGTCTCTATGACGTCTGAATAAGACGTCCTTAAGTCTTTCACATGAGACCTGCCAAAGACGTCCATAGGGCGGCTGAAAAGACGTTTCTAGTACGTCCTCAATAAACGTCCCTTGGACGTCTTGAAAAGACGTATTTAGGACGTCTGGAATAGACGTCCTCAAGTCTTTCATTTGAGACCAACTAAGGATGTCTTACGGACGAGACTAGAGAACTCTTATGAACGTCCTTAGGACGTCAAAATGCCCACTGGGTGCGAATTTCCCTTGACTACATAACTAAAGGGATATTATTTTCCTTTTTAAAGAATTATTTTGTCTTTTCAAAATATAAACTGTAAAACTAATTTACTTTATTTTATTAATTTGTTCGTCAAATATATCTTAATATTATTTTAGTTATTTTTTAAGGATTTTGATCGTATTTGTAATAAAAGTATTTTTTTTTTGTTTTTTTTTTTTGTTTTTTGCAATAAGCCTTCAAGAAGAGCAGACACGTTTTTATCTGTTTAAAAAAATTTATTTCACTTAAAAATTAAAAAAAAATAAAAAGTTATTGTATTTTAAAACATTATAACAAATAGCAGTTATACTTGTAGAAAATGCTACAGGAAATGTTAATAGAATATGAACCGCTAACTTGAAAAGAGGAACATGTTATGTGAATTTTTGCCTGACATGTCTCCTTTTTCAGGTTAGCATTTCATACAAAAAAAAAAAACAAACAGAGGCGATGCTGAAACAACAAAAAATATTAGTCAATGAATGAGCGGCTTAATAAAGTTGAACAAAAATTTTAAAGAAAATACAAACCAAATCAAAATTTTGGTAAAAGATATTGAAGACATTTAATTATCTTCAAATTTTCAAGAAGAACTTTTCGATAAAAAAATTACGAAAGTCTACGAATAAAGCAACGAACGCCTCGAATAGGAAAACATCCTAGCGGAAAATAGAAACGAAAAATATAGAAAAATTAAAGATAGATCTCAAAAAAAAAATTTGCGAATTGATGGAATACCAGAAAGTGTAAAAGAAACGTGTAAAAAAGGATTTAAACCAAAGAGAAAGAAGCTGAATGTGATTCGATATATATATTGTGTATATTATTTTCTTTTAAATTAATTCAAAATTCAAATAAAATTTCTGTTCCAATATCATAAAATATATCAAGAAAATTGTAGGTAACTTCAAGAGTATATATTTTTATTGAAAGTATAATAAAGACATTGAAATTCTTAATATTGTTAAATGGTCTAGATTTTTAAATTTATGGTGCTATTTTAGTTTAAAAAATTTTAAAAGTGACAGAGAAGATCTGCTATATTAAAATCCGTAACTACTAAATAACGTCTTAATTTAGATTTTAATTGCGGAAATGTTTTTTTTTTTAATATTAACAATATGCTGAAAGTTTCTCCACAAAATTGGTTCCCGGTACTAAATAGAATAAGAACATAACTTTAGATTATATTTTTGAGTTACAAAATTATTTATTAGATCATTTTCCTACTTTTTTAATAACAAATAATATAACTATTAATAATATTTCTTCTAAATTTATAATATACAGGCGGCCGATCAATAAATGCTCTTTACAAAAATTTCAACACCTTTTAAAATATAACGTTGATTGGGATCTTATAATGCATTCGGTAGAGGTAAATAATGTAAGATAAATATTGACCCTGATGTAAACATTTTTGACAGACTTTCAATCGAAACTAATTGTTTTAACGTCAGTTGTAAATAATTATTTTAACGTCAGTCAAACTAATTATTTTAACGTCAGTGAGGCTTCTTATTATTTTATTTTTTTCAACTTATATATATTCGTCATTATAAATATAAACTTGTACAACATTTTACCGTAAAATATATCACTGAAGCAAGTAAAAGACAATAGTCTTATCATCTTGCCCCATTTTTGTCGTTGATAAAATTTAACAAAATATAAACCAAATACAAATATAATAAAATATTTATAATACATATGATTTTTTTTTTTTTTACAATGAATATCATTAAATAACCAAGCAAACAAACAAACAAAATAAAGAAAAGGTTTTCCTGCTTCCTTCTGATAAAGAAGAATATAATCGTTGGATAAATGTTATTTCACGAGATAATATACCTGAAAGTCCAGATACAGTTGTGTGCGAAAGACACTTTCCATTGGGATATCCTACAGTTATAAAGTTTGGTCATAAAAGGCCACGTGATCTTCCATCAGTTTTTACATGAGTAAAACCTAGTTTGATTCCTAGTGTTCCATCGCCATTAAGAACAACATTTAAAGCTTCTTCATCTGTTCGTAATATTATACCCGATGAACTTGATATGTTTATAGCTGCTGATCAGATTACATGTTTTAAATCATTACATCAGAAGTTATAAAATAAAGAAATTAATTTTGAATTAGTTGATGTAACTTGGTATTTTGCTCGTGAACATTTGCTAATAATTCAATCCTTGCGGCGAACGTGACGTGACTTTAACTAACTAAACGACTACCATTATGGTATGGGGGCAAACAAAGCGCTTGAAAATAGAGAAATGTGTTTTTGATTGTTCAGTTAATGTTAATAGTCATCCGAACTTGATTTTTTATATTTTGCTTCCTGATCTAAAGAGAAGAAAATCGTGGCTTTATGCTTTATATAGAATTGATTCATCTTGCAAAAACAAACTTTGGTCGCAAAACATGTCTAAGTATGCTCAAAACATTTTGTATCTGGTAAGTTTTTTAATTGAATCGTCAAAATATTTGAGCACAAATTTTTCTTGAACTTATTAAGTTTTTTTCGTCTATATATTTTTATTCATTGTAAGTATGTTTCTCTTTTAGGAAAAAAAAGAACATAGTCTAGATGCTTTTCAAAATTTTGAAAAGCATGTTGACTATGTTCCATCAGTAAATATGTTAGGTGCTAAAAAAATATATAGTGAAATCATCCCTCCAACATAACTAATTGTTATGTGAAATGAAAGGAGAATAAATAGATTAAACAATTCACTTAGTATATACTATATAGTATTGGTATGTACTGTATAAACAACAAGATAAACTATATAATATAGTTTATCTTGTTGTTTAAAATGTTTTTGTAAAAACTGTTTATGTAATAGTTACAATTTATTTTATGTACAAATAAATTATTTATATATACAAATAAATTGTATATATAAATATTAATGCATTAAAACTAAGCATTTATAAATCATGTGTTTATTGTTTTTATTTTTAAATAAATTAATGTTCAATAGCTTGTTGAGCACAAATTTTGTATTTATAATTTTTTATATACCTCAAACATGCTAATATTTTTTTAGAATATTATGTACAAAAAAGTCATTGCAATAAATCTCAAGTTATTAAAGTCAGTGAACAAATAAGTACTGACAATTCTTTGACTGGAGTGGAAGATGTTAGTGTCTTGAACCAACATGAAACAACAAGTGAACTTAGCTGAGAATGATGGTAGTTTAAAAATAATGCAGCATTGGCTAGGTAAGTGATTATGTGTATGTTGGCTCATTCATAAGTCAATATATATGTGTTTATGTTCTGTGTCGACCTCTGGTGTCATATTGGCTCACCCTTTAGACATTATATGTGTGTTTGTGTTCTGTTTCAACCTCTAGTGCGGTGTTGATTCACTTGTAAGTCATTATGTGTATAATTTTATTTTGTTTTATTGTGTTATTATTGTGATGTTATTGTTGTGATGTTTTGTGTTGCTTACCTTCTCGTTGGTGTCTCATGCTACAAATGATTATTAGATAGTTTTTTTACTTAAACTTGTTACTTCTAATTATTTACTAATAGGCAAGAAACATGTTTTAAAGTAAAACATACTTTTAATGTTGTCATTTTTAATCTTTAGGATTGTTCTTAGGTCACAAAAACAATCTTACAAAGTAAGTTTCTTCTTTATTATTTATTTAGTTATATTTTTAATTAAATTTTTATTTTTCATGTTAACATGATACATAAGACATTAATTTGTAAATGCTTTCAGCATAAATTGGTTCCATTTTCTTTAGTAGAGTTTCTGCTGTTGTCACTGGTTTTAGAGAGTACCTTCGTGAATGAAGGTAAAAAGTCAGTTATGTTATTTTTTAAAAGCCAAGACATAATATTGTTAATCCTCATACCATTTACTAAAAAACTTTATAAATATTGTTACGATGTTATAATTCAAATTGTTGTAATTAGTAATTTTGATCATTTCATTATTATACTGTAAAAAATAATTTTTAATTATTACATTTATTTCACATATATTAAAAACATGAGGAATAAATATTACACTGAGGAAAATTTTAAGCAAAATATAGAATTTTTAAATGTTATTAGAATATCAATATGTAATATTTTTGTTTCATTTATTGAGTACATCTGTAAACTGTGCAATAATTTCAAAATGATGAATTAATTGAGTTCCATGATTCCTTTAAGCATTTGCACAGATTTATTTCAATATAACGCTAAATTTTGTTCTGGTAACGTTCAGCAGCTTTTTTAGATAACTTTTCTTGATAATCATAAGAAATTTTCAAGGCGTTTAAGTAATGTTGTACTGAAATCAGCGCGTTTGTTTGCCCCCATATCATAATGGTAGATATTTTTGTTTTTAATTACGCAATGATCACGTGGTTTTTCCGCCGCAGACTTTGAATAAAACACTCCCATTGCCAGATTTATGCTCAAAATAAAAAAATGATCTTTCATTCGTGGGATACTTTTGTGGAATTAAGCATACAATTGCATCTCTATCTGAAAACAGGATTTTCATATTAAATTCTTCCTCGAAGTTACAAGAAGCTATAAATTTTCTAAATAACCTAACAAAAAGCATTAAACTTATTAATCTTTTACAACACATCAGTGACATGAGCCCAATTACTATTGCGAAAAAAAAGTACAGTACAGAAACTATTGTAAGATCATTTGAATACTTTGCAATTTCGAGATCGTTATATGGAAGGTTAAGGGAAGATTATGAACTTCCAAGTACTTCCCTATTAACAAAGCTAACTTCTAAACTGGATTCTGCAATGAACGACACAGAGTTTTTTAAATCAGCTTATTCTAAGCTTGAAAATGAAATGCAAAAAATTTGTATGATTTTAATTGACGAAGTTTATGTCAAATCATCTCTTACTTATCATGCTGGCTCAGTCTTTGGTGAAGCGGTAAATAAACCAGAGTCTTTAGCATTTACTGTTTTAAGTTTTATGGTAGTATCACTTTACGGAGGACCACAATATCTTTGCAGAATTTTACCAGTCTGTGAGCTTGATTCTAAATTTCTGTTTGAACAAACTCAATTTTTTTTAGAGGGAATAAAGAGTGCAGGAGAAATACCGGTAGCCTTAATATGCGACAATAACCGTGTAAATCAAGCACTATTTAAAATGTTTGATTGTGTTGAGCCATGGTTAACTAAAGACAATATGTTCTTGTTATATGACTTTGTCCATCTTCTTAAATCTGTCCGTAATAACTGGGTTACAGAAAAAAGTCAAAAGCTATGTTATGAACATGAAGGGAAAACTAAATATGCATGCTGGTCTAATATCTTAAGTTTGTTCAGGCTTGAAGAAAATAACATCGTAAAATTGCCTAAACTTACAAGTGTGTCTGTTGCATCAAAACCTATTGAAAGACAAAAGGTGTCTACTTGCTTACAAGTCTTTTGTGATGAAACTGCAACTGCTTTATAATCCAACAGTAACATAAAAGAAGCAGAAGGCACCATTACTTTACTTGAAATATTTGTGAAATTCTGGAAAATTGTTAATACAAAAGGACTGTATGCTGATATTCGATATAAAGATCCAGATAGAGCAGTTATATCAACTTCAGGAGATGTTAGACTGACATTTTTACTTAATCTGGCAACAATGGCCGAACAAATGACCAACAAACAGCGCAAAAGACAATTTCAGCTAATCAGAGATACAGGTGCAGCTTTAGCTCATACATGCCGTGGTTTAGTTGCCATTACTAAATTTTTGCTCCAACATTCGTTTAAGTATGTTATATTGGGAAAATTTACAACTGACCCACTAGAAAAAATGTTCGGAAAACTTTGACAAGGTTCTGGCGGAACATATTTTATCAATGTGCAACAAGTTATTGAAAAAGTAAAAATTCAAAGAGCCAAATTAAGTCTCCAAATTGGAATAGACATTGATTCTTCATCTGCAGAAAGTGGACATAGCTGTCAAAAATGTGGATACTTACTTAGCAGTAATACTATTGATATATTTGATAATTTGCCTGAACTTGAAAATAGTGTTCAAGTAGATACCAAAGCAGGATTGGTATATATAGCTGGATATATTGTGCGTATATACTTTAACATGGAAAGAAAACATGCTGTTTCACTTTCAAATATATATTTTAAAAACTATGTTAGTTTATATACACCAAGGTCGTATAAAGAGCCACAACAAAAGATTTTAAAACTTTCAAAGTAATATATTGCTTTTTTAATTATGACGACTTTAATTTTACGTATATATTTCTTTAAATTCTATTTTTTTTTTGTTATTTTTATACACATCCCAGTGGGCACACGGACGGCTTTAGGACGTCTTTAAGACGTCCCGATCGGACGTCTTAAATTGGTTGGATTTGGAAATACAGAAAGACGTCCTGCGTGGAACGTTTTAAAGACGTCCCAGAAGGAACGTGAAAAAGACGTCCTGAGAGGAACGTAAAAAAGACGCCTTACGAGGAACATAAAAAAGACGTCCCGATAAGACTAAGAATTGAGTTTAATTTAAGTTACAGTTTAGAAATAATGAAAAACATTAGGTATGAAATGTCATAAATAGGTCTTATTTGGTGCGTATTTTTTTATACGTTAATTTTTAGACTTATTAATTTCAAATACCATTAGAAAAACAAGAATTCAACAAAAAAATTAGTAAAGTGAAATTTATTTACAGAAATTAATTACAAATTAGGTTCGATGCATCTATCACTTCCACTATCGACAATTTCTAGCACCAAATTTTTTTGATCTGGACCACGTTTAAAAATGTTGCTAGCAAATGAATGAACTTCATTCTAAAAACACAGTCTAATGAATAAGCTATAATACCTTATACAAAATTTTCAAAGTCAACTTTTGCAACTGATTAAATAAGAGTTTACAGTTGATTTTTGTGCGAGTGTGAGTTTGCAGTATTTAAAAATTCGTCAAAACTAAGCATACAAAATACAATACAAAATATATTACATTAACAGGTATACCTATAATTGTCTTCATTAAATTTGTTTCACGAAAACTCTTTTTTTTACCAGCTAAGTTAAATAAACTTATCAGTTTATTTTACATTAATCTAAATAAACAAATGACAAAAATAAAATCAGATCAGATCATAAGCAGTTTAAAAATTATGAATATAAGTTCATTTACAAGTCCAAATTACCCAGCCAGCATTTGGTCCAAAATAAAGGTTTTCAGGATCTAATGCGGGCCAGGTATGTTCTGCTAAAATACATTTTAAAAGTTTTTTAGCAGAATATAATTTCCAAACTTACAACATATAACATTCTACAATTATATATCACAAATGTGTTTAAGATTTACATCCATGTTTCCACACTTGTATGGTTTAGATGGTTCTCCATAGTAATGGCTCTCTCAAAAAGATTTGCAGCAATATTTTACAAACAGATGCCCAAACGTTGTATGGATGACGTACAACCTGCTTAGGCAGGATGTACTACATGGTATCAGTAGCAAGATAACCTGACTTGACGCTTGACAAACAGACCTAAAAAAATATGGATACGAAAAGAAATTTGGTCATGCACAAAAAGAAAACAGTAGATAAAGCATTAATGACATTAAAGAAGACAGACATCAACATCTGTATTTTGTGTCACAAATATTTAATATTTGTGACAGTAAAAACTGAAACTACAAATATATATTTTTATTCTATTTTAGTATAAAAATGTATAAGTTATAATATTTTTTTCTGTTAATTTATTTAAGCTCTTACCTTAAAAAACCTTTATACAGTCAGTGGCAAAGGCAGGTTTTTTTAGGTTCCATATTTGACACTTTCAGGCTTTGTGCATACTTCAAACTTTTTATGTCTACCTGGAATGACAATGAAAAAAATAAATTATAATCTATTATTTGTTATAAATAATATATAGGTGCTTGAAAACTAAAATACCCAAAAAATTTTGCTCTCCTATATCTAAATATGAGGGAAATGAGTTCATATTAGCATTCAAAAGTTATGATGTACATTTTGCAACCTCCTCATTTAAGGAGGGAAACTAATCTTTATATGGTCAAAACTTTTGAAAGCTAAAATACTAATAAAGTTACAAACCTGTTGATGAAATTTAATTTAATATTAAATAAAATACTGTTATTTACAGAACTCATTTCCTTCACATTTAGGGATGGGAAAGGGCAAAACGTTGTCATTCGACATAAGGATAAAAATAATTAAGTTTGCAGATTGGACAATGTGCTTGAAAATGTCTTATTTGAATACATAATAAAATACAACCTATGCTATTGCACATGCATTTACATATACTCTATAGTGTAATGTATACAGATAAACAATAACAATAATAAATAATTTAACAAAACAAAACTTATTAGTTAATAATTAAGTAATTATTATTAAAAATTATTTGCATAGCAAAACAAAATACAAAAAGTAAACACATACTTTACAATCGACGCTTTCACAGTGGCATAACTAAAATTACCACCAACATTTGATGACTGAAGCCTCAAAAAAAATACAGTTAAGAATAAATAGTATTTTATTCAACATGGAAATGTTTTAGTTGAAAATCATAGTTCTAAATCAAGAATTAGGTTGAAGCTGGCAACCAAATTGAAAAAGCAAAGTAGTCAGATAAAACCATGCCGATACAACATTTAATCATCATATCCAGTTTAAACAATTTGATTTACGTTTAAGGAGAGCATTACATATGAGGAGAGTATTATGTATTACTATATTCTTTTTTACTTGTTTATCTATCATATTTAATGATCGTCTGTTAGAATATAAAAAATTGAAAATAAAAATCCAGAATTTCAATAAAAAACACAAAACTTTCATTAGCAAATATACATTCGTAACATATTACTGGGTGTTGTAGGTGCCTTGTCTTTTTCATACCTTTGTTTTTATACCTAATTGTATACATTTTGATAAGAATTGGAAAAGTTATAACATTTGAAAAAACTAAAAAGTTATAACATACAAAAAACTATCAATTTTGTCATTATTTTTTCAAAAAATCCTTATAAAATTTTCTAATAAAAATATCATGTAAAATTTTGATTTTTTTACCATTAAAATATAAAACAATCATATTCTAACATTAATAAATGTATTATTTAATTTGTTTGTGCACTAAATGTAAAATCATTGATATATTAATAAAGCTTTATCATACATGTTTTTATTAAATGTTGCAAAAGTATAATAAATTAAAATTTAAAAAATATATATATATATATAAAAGTGCAACTTTTAGCATAAAATTCAAAATTCTATGTAGATGAAATGTAAAAATAATAATCATAAGAATACAGTTAACTCCCAACATCTCAAACCTCAGATAACTCAAACTTTCCTGTAACTCAAAGTACTTTCGATTATTATTAGTAGTACACATATAATTTTTTTTACTGTTATATCTTGTTACTATATTATATATGTATGTTACTATATTATATATGAATCGATTCATATATATCATATTGTCATATATATCATATTATGATATATAATATAGTTACATGCATCTATAATATACTAACAGGGATTAGGTTATTGACTGTTAACTTCAAAGAAAATAAAATTAAATATATATAAAAATAATGCAAATTTAGATTTATTGACTGATTTTTATTATATTATTATAAAATCTGAGTTTTTATACGAGTATAAAATCTTAATTATATAAAATCTTTTATTATATGAGTATAAAATCTTAATTTTATAATTTTATTTCCTGACATTTATATTTTAGGTATTACGTTTAAAAAAAAAAAAACTATAATACTTAAAATATAAATAAAAGTAAATAAAATAGGCTTTTATACTCATACAGAAATATAATAAAAAAATAAGTTAATCTAAATTTCATTATTTTTATATGTATCTAATATGACATAAAAATATAAAGTATATAAAAATAAAGAAAATTTAATGATATATAAAGTAAAAAAAAAAATCTATAAACAATCTTTGTATATTTTATTTATCTATATAATATAAAATATAATATATAAATATAAAACACATATGTTATCTAACAATTATCTAGAAAGTAATTGTGACTCTTCATACGAGAATCGCCATTATTAAAACACCATTATTAAAACACCTTTTAATAATGACATTCGCGCACTGATCTCTATAATAACTGGATAGCGCATCTCTATTATCAAAAGTGAAGCCAAAATTTTGTACGGCCGCCATATTGGAAAGCCCCAGAATACCGAAAATACAGTGATTGCGCTTGAAGATGTACCTTTTTACTTCGTTTATATCTACTCGACCAAGTCACATATTTCAATGATATTATTATATTTAAAATGTTTGAAGGTGTAAAAATTATAAAAGGGAATCAAAAACACGCAAAACATTAACGACGAAGAGAAATATCGCTATAAAGAAATAATAAAATTTGTATTGCTTTCTATGAACTTGTTAAACTTATTGAATTCATGATATTCTAAATAAAACTTTTCTGAAAGACAAATTGATATTTGATCTGGTTACTTTTGGGTGTTTATTTTAACAACTTGATGCGACCTTACTTAGCAATAGTAGCTGGAAAGTAACTTTACAAGTATAAAACATGATAAAAACATTGTATCAAACATTTTTGTAAATGGTTTTCTAATTTTTGAAACTCTGAGGGCATGTTTATATTGTTCCACAACTGAAATATCATCAACTATGCAAAGCTTTATTAAAATTGATATCACTTAATAACAATGTTTTGTTCTGTTGCTTTGCTAACTTTAATTACACTTTGTGAAGGTTTGAAAAAGCCATTTCTAACTTTAAAAAACACTAGATATTTGGTGATAACTAGTTATTTGCAGTTTTACATTAAAGTATTTAGTGTTTTAGACTAAATAACAGCATCACATACATGTTGATTGTTTATATGTAAATATGGTATAAATGAAAACAAACATGGTTTCTTTCAAGTTTTTTTACAACTATTGACTCTAAAGTAAAATAATAATGATTCAGCTAACATCTATCAGTTTTATACTGATAAATATTAGTTGCATAATTAATAAATATTAAAAATATTTCTTGTGAAAACAAATAAGCAACAAAGACCAAAATGAAAGGTGAACAATTTTTTTTATAAGTGTACATACTTTTTTACTTTTCCCTACCACATAATACCTTTTTATTCAATGTTTATTTTGTTATTCAATGCTTATACAAGTTATTCAGTGATTATTTTGTTCAAGATGATAGAGCTAACTATTATCTTATTTATATATTTTTTCTTTAACGTATTCTTTTGTAATTGCAATATCTTATACAAATGTTCTGGTGTTGTGAAAATGTCTAATGGCATTTACAAAAATGTCTTGAAAGTATTTTTCGACAGTTAAGCGTAAAGTTAATATATATATATATATATATATATATATATATATATATATATATATATATATATATATACACACGCAAGAACAAAATTATTAAAAGTAAATATAAAGATTCGCTATATGTTGCCTAAGGAACCTTTAGGTTGTGTTACAATCACATTGCCTAACTAATGATTCATACAGCAAACTTGTAAGCTGTTTACATTGCAAATATGTCAGCCTCAGGCATTTTGCAGAGGGCAATTAAGAATCAAAAGGTGCATACTAATATACACTTGCATGCTATTATAATTATATTATACCAGGGTGGCCAGCTAACTGGAAATCATGGAAAAGTCAGGGAATTTTTTTCTAGTCAGGGAAATCAGAGAAAAATGTCTTTTATGAAAATTTAATTTTTTTTAAAGGTTTTTTTTACTTACTCCCAAACAACAAAACTTAAAAATTCACACTTCAAAATATAACTGAGTCAGTGAAAAATATAAAAAGTCAGGGAATTTAATTCTTGAAAGTGGCTGGTCACCCTGTATACATAATTTATATATATATATATATATATATATATATATATATATATATATATATATATATATATATATATATATATATATATATTCATTTATTTATTTATTTATGTCACTCTCCATGAAATAATCTGAACATATAACATCAGATTTACTCGGTTATTAATAATCAATGAATTTATAAGGTTTTTGCATTTTTTATTTATCCAGCGAAATCTGTGTTTTAAGCGCATATAAGTTTAACGCAACTACGGATTTATAAATTCTGGGGCTTTCCAATATGGCGTCTTTTGGCTTCAAAAATTTCGGAATTTTATTAGGAGATGTGCTATCCAGTTATTATAGAGATCAGTGCATTCGCGTCATTAGACATAATAAAAAGGTTTTTCAAAACTGAAAGTGATAAATTTTCTTATTTTCGGAACGGACGAGAAAAAGACGTTCATAAGACGTCTTATTATAGTTCATATTGTGAATAAATCGAGCGGACGTGAACTGAACGTACATAAGACGTCTTTTTTCCGTCGTGTGCCCACTGGGATTTTACCACTTCAATATTATATTGTATAGCTTGGAAATATTTTCAAAATGTCATTACAATTTTGTTGTTTTAACTAAAAATGTTTAATTTCTAGTTTTACATTTTAAAATATAGTTTTTGTGTGGCTTCATTGTTATGTTTCTTATATTTCCTATGTATTTGTTTTAATTATGATGACTTTTATGATTATTACTATTTCCTGTGTATTTGTTTAATTAATGATTGAGTATTTTGTAAAAATAAAAGAAAATTAAAGAGTCGAAAAATAAAAAAATTACCAAGCTAGAGGCTTGGTAATTTTTTTCTAGATTTAGCCTTATTACAAATAAACCTTTATGTCTAGGAAATGTTTTTTTTTTTAATCTTTGTTATTATATAAACAGGTTTTATTAAAATAAAAACATTTAAACGTTTTTTACGACCAAAAGTTTATGTTATCCTTAACTTTTCTTTCGTTGTTGTTGTTTTAATAGCCCCCAGCCCCAGACTCCGATTTACGCGTTTACGAGGCCTGTAAGTATAGACGGCCATATTTACAACGCATTTAAAATGTTGGAATGAGTTTATCGTTTTTATTTTTTTTGTTAAAAATGAGTTCCACAATTGGGGTCCTCTGCTGGATATTGAGAATTTAGATTGTCTTAAAGAAGTTTTCGGAATATAGTTCTTGATAGAGTATTTTGTTTGATATTTGTGATTAATAAGGCAAAATTAGTTATGGAAGACTTACGGACCTGATCATTCTTGAGTTTATCCATGAACTGAAGAATGCAATATATACTTTGTTCGTAGATATTAGGAACTCTCAGTTCCCCCATTAAATGTTTAGAATTGGCATTTCTATTTGCGTTTGTTAATATACGGCACGCTTGTTTTTGTTTTTTATATATTAAATCTAGTTTTGATTGGTAGGTACTAGCCAAGGCAATATTGCAGTAGTTAATATAGCTAAGTATATATATAAAATAAAAACTTTTAAGGCATGCATTATTTAAAATATATCTGGTTTTATGCATAACTCCAATGTTTTTAGATATTTTGTTTTCAATATATTAATGTGGTCTTTCCAGCTAATATGTTCATCTAATAATACCCCGAGAAATTTAACTGAGAACGCTCAATTTAATCTAATTTTGTCTAATATAATATCTGGAAGTTTTAATGATAGTTTGTCTGAATTGTATGGTTTTGTGAAAAAGATATAATTACTTTTCTCAATGTTGACAGAAAGTTTGTTTGCTTTAAACCAATCGCTCAACTCTTCAAGTTCCTGATTTACTGTATTAAAAAGTGTAGTAATGTTAGAGCAGGTATAGAAAGCTTGAGTTTCATTAGGATTGTGAAGGTATGTAAAGAGTCTATGTATGGAGTATATGAAGCTTCTACCTTTCTTAATTCTTTATCAACTTTTTTTTTCGCAGTTAAATCTAAATATCCGGAGTATGAATAAAAAATTTTGAAAACTTGAAAGAAATGTTAGAAAATTTAAACTACAAATTTAGTGTAATATGTCAAACAGAAACCTGGTTTCAAAACGGAGATGATTTAAT